ATGAAATGGCTGAGGAAGGAGTCACTGAAGTGCTGGAAAGTGGGGATAGAGTCTGCTGGCAATTGACTAAACCAAAGTCGAGCTGACCCCTTGAGTGTCACGGGGAAAGCCCGACACATGATTTCGTCAGGGAATGCATAGAGGATCATGAGGGTTCTGTAGGTCTCCAAGTGGTCGACTGGATCCGTCGTACCGTCGAAAGAGTCGATGGTGGGCATTTTGAACTTGGGGGGTAGAGGTTTGTCCCGGATGGAGGCGACGAATGGTGAGTTGGCTGTGGTGGATGGTTTATGCTGTATGTTCTGCATGACTCCTTGGAGCTGGAGCTTTATGGCTCGGAGTTCTGCATCCCAGAGAGGAATGTTGTCACCACCGGAGAGGAACGGGGGCTGGACGCTACTGGCCTCTCCCTCGGGGGTTGGTACCGGGACTGATGGATGCGGGGCCCGGGGTGGCGGGTTTACACCTGGGGGAGGGGGTTGCAAGCCTTCCAAGTTGGGTGGATTAGGCTGTAGGATAGTATGGCCCGGGGCTCGTTCTTGGTTAGGTGGGATATCTGGAGGTGGAGGAGGAGACATAGGAGGGTTTCTTTGGAGTAGAGTATTAATAAGGGCTTGGTTTTGCTCGGCCAGGCGGTTTATGCTGTTGGTGAGCTCGGTGATATACGGCGGTGGGCCATTTGGATTAGGAGGGTCAGCTACATTGTGGTGAGAAGCCATGGATCTAGTCGTGACCATACACCCTGATGGGTGGTAGGAAAGAGTTGCTGGGACAGGGTCTCCAGCGACAATGAACACAACTGGCACGCGGAGCAAACCTTTTCCCACAGACGACGCCAACTGATGATGCAGCGGGTTCCAGACGGAACGGGTCTGACTTATCCACGCTTCCCAAACTGGAATCCGGATGACCAAGTCCACCCAAAGACCTGGACAAGAGTTCAACGGGGAACGGGGAGTCCCCCAGCGAATCCTCCGACGAGCAAGTTAGAGAGAGAAGTGGAGTATAGAGATGAATTAGAGATAGAAAGCTTAACCTTCTTTCTGTCTTCGACCTTTGCTTATATTGTCTGGTAATCATTTCATTGTCCCTTCTGACCTGTCACCTTAGCTGAAAGTCTATGCTCTAGCTTACCTTGTTCGTGGTAAAGGCGTTCTATTCCGTCGGAGAGGGGTTATCGCAATAAATGCTATAAGGGGCCTCATTAATGGCGATGTGCCGTGGTAATAACTTTGCAGATCTTTGTCTGTTGATGTGGCTTGCCCTTCTCTCGCCATGTGTCTTGATGTCATTGGTTCTTATTGCTACATAGGGCTTCAGCAGTGCTGGGCTTTAGTATTTGAGTTATGTATTGGGCCCTAAATGGCGAGCTATAATCTTTATGGGCTTACCCGTCAGATTTAAATCAATTTCTAAATTCTTTCCAAATGATCTAACAGAGTATTAGATTTAAATCAATCATGGATTTGGTGGAAAAGACCATTAAAGCATTTCCAATGGTTTGTCATTGGAGTTGCTATTATTATAATTTGATAACTGGAGAAAAAAATAGTGCTCTAATGGTGTCATATGGCAGCTGCCAAATTTGGCAAATGCCAAAGCTTGTGCCAAATTTGACACAAGCTTTTGCAGTTGCCATATGTGCCCTATGAGGCAAAACCTCCCTCCCTCCTAGCAAAACCGATAAATTTTTGCAAAACCGTCATTTTAGCAAAACCAAACACATAAATTTTGTGTTTGCTTAGTCGTTCGAACTTAACAGTTTCTGTGTTTGGTTCTGCCAAAATAACACTTGACCATTAGAATATTATTGTTATAATTCTATAATTTTCTACCATTCTTCCTCACATATTATGTGTGAATTTCTCTTCGTAATTATATTTTTTTGAATTACGCAAATCATACGTATAGGCCACTAATATATATATATATATATATATAGGATCATGCTAACAATTGTCCAAAAAACACTAGTTCTGAATAAATTAAACATCGTGTATTGAAGGATCTTAAGCTTTTTTCGTCCCACAAAATACCATAACTTTTATTTTTGTTGCTGATCTGTTGACTGTGACACGGAGACATCTATTATGCTGTTCATTGTATTGTTGTCAGGAAACGGAATAATGTTCATGTTGTATGTTGTTTGTCACTTGGGGTGCATTAAAAAATTCCAAGATTTCTTCAAAGGTTTATCTTATGTCCAGTCTAGTTTGTGAATTAAATCGTATTGTTTGGGTTTACATGGACTTTTACGGATTTAATTTTGATTATTCGAATTGTTTATTTTTTAAATTATAATGTGTAAATCATTCACATAAAAAAAAAGGACGATCCGAAAATCCTAATTTCATTAGTTCATGACATTTATTTATAAAAAATTGAACAACAAATAGTATTTGAAAAGTATCTTATACTCAATTGAATTATTCTGAATACATTTGTCATACTTATATACAATGAGCCTAACCAATATTATAACTGATCTAACAAACTCTTGTAACTAACTCTAACAGATACAAGAAAATATCTTAGCTGATGACTTAGCTAAGTTGAGCTGTGAGCTATAGTCTGAGCTGCTTCTGCAGTAGATGATGTGACCATTGGAGCACAATTGCTATAATTTGGCAAAATAGCAATATTCATTGCTAAATTATAAAAATGACAATGTTATTTTAGCAAACATCATTGGAAATGCTCTTACCTTACTTTGAGGGGTTACAATTATGAATTATCAAAATTTTATAGTAAATAATGTGTTATCATTTGTTTTAGTGTTGAATTTTAATTTCTATATATTGGACGAATAAATTTATAAGGCACTATGTTGTTTATTAAGCAATTTGATAATAGTTTTTTTGTCAACTACCTATAATTAAATGCTAAAATGACTACTTTAAAGTTGGTACAACCTTGAACCTTGCCAAGGCTATTAAACTTTCAATGGCATCATCTTCCAAATTTTTAATGTGAATTCAATAAAAAAAAAATATTAAAATTATACATAGTTTCATTTATAATCACTCCATATCCTTTCTTTAGATACAAGATATTAGTAACCATTCACTTTATATTTAGGATTAAGAAAATTTGGTAAGACATGAAAATATGGGATTAAGATTTCTGCCATGGATCTCTTTGTAATGATTTTGTTGTGATATTTCAATAGTCTATGTTTAAAATTAAAGCACAACTATATCATTTTAGGATATGTTGGTTCTATACAATTTTATTTTAGTTTTAATTCAAATCGTTAGATTATGTAATTTTACTAACATATCTTGTTGATATAAAAAATAGAATAAGATCATTACCGAAAAACTATAATAGAGAGATAATATGATTTTAATTTATGATTTCCCTCTATACAATATAAATAGTAAATAAGTTGGTTAGTTATTATATTAATCTCACATGAATTGAGTAAAAAAAATTTTAAATTGTATTTAAAATTTAGATTGTAGAAAAAAACTAAAAGTTAGTATTTTCTTTGTTTTTTCTTCCACATAATTGAGGAACTTACGCCAAAAAAAAAAAAAAAACACAAAAATTAAAAGTGTTAAGTCAATGAAAGCAAATTCAATCTTGGTAGGTCACATGTGGCACTCATAATTACACGGTTACACCAGCCATCATTCATCGAGTTAAGAATCTCTCCTTGCAGGTTCTTACTTGTCTTGTCCTTACAGGGTCTTCGGATCTACTTTTAGGCCTAATTTTGATAATTCGAATCGTTCATATTTTATAATTTATTCAGTATATCATACCTATAAAAAATCAAGTTGATCGGATATCAGAAAGTATATGTTCGAAAAACTATTTGTTAAATTCTTTAAAAAAATAGTTTTTAGTTTAATTTTTCGAACACATACTTTCTGATATCCGATCAACTTGATTTTTTACAGGTATGATATACTGAACAAATCATAAAATATGAACGGTTTGAATTATCAAAATTGAGTCTAAAAGTAGGCCCGAAGGCCCTACAAGGATAGGCGCAAGTAGGAACTTGCCAGGAGAGGATCCTCATACTTTTGCTCTTGGCCTTCGCAAAAAGTGTAAGAAAAAGAAGATGATTTTGATCAATCCAAAATCCCACCATGTGTTAAAACTTGCACTTGGATGGGTACTTCTAAATACATACACAATTTCTTTGTACATCCAACCTTTTGAATTCTGTTTCATAAATAATGGGGTAGAGGAAATTTGTGAACCTAACCTGAATCTCATAAGTTAATGTTAATATTTATGTTAAGATACATTATCTCTATTAGTAGAAAATCATAATGAAATTTTCAAAATTCAGTGTTGAAAAAACACTTCTCTATTTTATCATTGCTCCAATAAAAAAAAAATTTCCAATAAAGAAAAAAATTTCATTCATAAAAAAACAAGAACTACAATCGTGTAGGTGACACAGCACAAGATCTTTATCTTTAAATTTTTATGTTCTTATATTCTAATGTACTCTTAATTATTGAATTATATTTTGAGATTTGTGTATCAAAATTGTCACTATAATTCAACGATTGTAGTTATATTGATCGCAAGTGATACAAATTTAAAAAATAAAAGAATCATTTACCATGCTTTAAGTCTTGCAAGATTTAAAACTATATAGTATATATTGTTTTGCTTGGTTTCGTTTGTAGAATTTATTTTAACACTGTATATACGACGAATAATTTTAAATTATTACTATTATTATTATTTATCAAATTAATTATTATTTTTATTATTTTAAACAGGAGGCCAAACATACATAATAATACCAGCTGCAGGAGCCCAAACCCAAGCCTGGGCCTGTTTACAATGGGTTTCCCGGACTTGGGAATTCGCGCGTTCCGGGTCCATAAACTCCCCCTCCTACTATCTGGTCTGGCTCACCAACTGCCAACCACCACCACCGCCATCCTCAACCCCCACCCACCGCCCAACCTCAACTCCACCAAATCCTTCTCCTAATCTCTCTCACACCCAACACAACACCACTCCAATCAATGGCGGCGACACCACCCTCCTCAACCCCAGCACCACCATCACCGCCAACATCACCATCACCGCAGCCACAAGACCAAGACCAAGACCAAAACCACGAACCCTCCTCCTCCCCATCACCAACACCAACACCCTCAAACCCAGAGTCCCCAAAACCACTCCAATCCATCTCTCCTCCAAAGAAAATCCAGCCCTTGCCTTGGACCCACCCAGAGACAGTCAATCTCATCCAAGCCTACCAGGAAAAATGGTACTCCCTCAAGCGCGGTCAGCTCAAGTCCAACCAATGGGAAGAAGTCGCCATCACCGTCGCAGCCCGCTGCGGCTACGACGAACCCTCCAAATCCGCCATCCAGTGCCGCCACAAGCTCGAGAAACTCCGCAAGCGATTCCGCGCTGAGAAACAGAAACCCTACCCTCACGCTTGGGAGTACTTCGACCTCATGGACTCCATGGAACGAGGTCCTCTCCCTATCTCCGCTCGCCCCATGGCCATGGTTCAATTCCACAAATCCAATCCCAACGACGAAGAAGACGATGACAATGATAACGATGATCTAAAAGGGGAGGGGTTGGATTAGGGTTTTGTTTCATACAACTAAAAAGAGCAGGTTCAAGAATGTGTTTGACATTCAAAATTGAGACCAATGTATCATAGTGAGGCTTATAATTTTTTTAATCCCTTAATTTTCTTTAGCATCTATGTTTGAGGCCCCAATGGATTGATCTGTTATAAAGAAAGAATAAGGATTAATTGATACCCAACCATGCTATAAAATTTTGTTGACTTCTCATTATCATTTAGGTTATCACAATGAATGCAAAGCATTTACGTGTTCATGGCTTTGGCCCTTTCAGCAGATGATTTAACCAGTGACATTACACAAAGAAGACGGCTGAAGAAATTCGTAACAAGTTTAGCGGTCAACTTCATATTCAGATTATTTGCATGTATACATCTTTTAATCCCAGGGTTCGGGAAAATTTTTGTTGGCCATAATGCGGATAAGCAGTCAGAAAAGCAGCACAAACCTGAGTTTGGAGTGATCCAGAACTGATGAAGGTAAGTCATTGTCATTTGGCAACTCCTATTATGTCATAAAAGTGGAAGTATTATTGGCACAATACGGATACGACTCCCTTCTAAAAGTATCGGTGCTTCATAGACTATGTACTTTATGTTGCTATAATTTCTTTCAAAGTTTATTATTTCACAGTACTAATGGTATATGTAACTCTTGTTCCCAGTTGGTACATTTTGGAGAAGCCATAAATCGGAGAAAAACTACTAGTTTTTCTGATGGTGATGATCTAGAAGCCAAGTGGTTTGCTTCTAAGGTGACATTTTGATAATTTAACTACATATGCTAACTTTCAATCACCTTATGCCAGTAAACAGAAACTTTGCTTCTTTGTACAGGTTCGAAGTAATGAAATAGTTTCTCATGTCATGCAACCAGTGCCACCTCAAGACAGAGTATGTATTACTGAATTGTCCTTTGCCCCCTTGTAACTTTGTAAGCCAGATTTAGTCAGAATATTATGTTGAGATGAGCTCATTAACTGTTGCAAGTGTTATATGACCCAACATCATCATTTCTTTTAACTAGGAGTAAAACATTAGTTGTAGTCACTATTATTCTAAGAAGCATGGACACTTCTAACATGGTGTTGTGTCAAGTTGGGCACCAACACGACACTCATTGGCCACTTCCCAACACATATCCAAACATGTTCTACTATTTTTAAAATGTTTCTAAACTGGGACATGCTTGAGACACTTAGAGAACACGTGTCTATCGCTTAAATACACATGAAACACATTACAAGTTTGAATAAAATATTTGGAATCTAATAATAAATGGTTCTGTTTGAATTGGTTGACTTATTGATTTATAGGCAGTTCAAGGTAAGAAATGTGCTCAATAGGTGTGAGAATTGAGCTCCACATGATCTTCGTATTTTTATGTACAGTAATAAGATGGAAAGCATTCATTCATTTTTGTAGCTTCTTGTTTTGTCCCTTCACTATTTTAGGAAAGGGAGAACCTTACTTCCATTTGCAGCCCAAGTGAACCAGTTGGTACAGGAGCTAGAGTTGATCAATGGCAGATACATCCATCCCTCATCCGTTGCTCATCGACTACTTACCAAGACCAAGCATTGAAGACCCCGAAGCAGAAAAGGTATGTTGCGCCGAACCAGGCCCCTCATGGATGGATCCCATCATACTGTTCTTAAAAGATGGCGTCTTACCGGAAGAAAACAAATGAGCCAACAAAATTAGAGCAAAGTCATAGCGATTTTGGCTCTCCCCATCCATGGCATTGTACAAAAAGTCATTCTCTGGACCTTATCTAAAGTGTGTTCACCCCAGCAAAGTGGAAGCATTCTTGTTCGAGATACACGAAAGTGTGTGCGGAAGCCACCAAGGAGGAAGATCGTTAGCTTACAGAGCCATTTCACAAGGATATTGGTGGCCATACATGTAGGCAGACTCGAAGAAATATGTAAAGAAGTGCGAGAAATGTCAGAAGTTCGCACACCAAATACATCAACCAGCCAGAGAGCTCCTACCATTGACCAGCCCATGGCCCTTCGCAATATGGGGCTTGGACATAGTAGGACCACTCCCAACAGCACCTGGAAACAGGAAGTTCTTTCTCGCAGCAACAGACTACTTCACAAAGTGGGTGGAAGCAGAGGCACTGGCATCAATCAAGGAAAAAGATGTGAAGAAGTTCGTCTGGCAGAATATCATTACACGGTTCGGCATACCCAAGGCACTCATATCTGACAATGGCACTCAGTTCGACGGCAAAATTTTTAGAGGCTTTTGTGAAGAATACAAGATAGAGTTCTACAATTCTACACCGGCATATCCCCAAGCAAATGGTTAGGCAGAAGCATCAAACAAGGTAGTATTGGATGGACTGAAGAAACGGTTAGAAAAAGCCAAAGGCAAGTGGGCGGAGGAACTCCCTCATGTTTTATGGGCTTACCGCACCACACCTCGATGATCAACAGGAGAAACACCATTCTCCTTAGCCTACGGCATGGAAGCAGTAATCCCACTGGAAGTTGGCCTCCCCACAATTAGAAGCGAAAATTTCGATCCAAACTTGAATGGAGCAGCCATAGCATTGGAACTCGACCTCGCCGAAGAAAGAAGAGAAAGAGCACTGGTTCACATTGCCTCATACCAACAAGAGTTATCCAAGAAATACAACAAAAAAGTGCATCCAAGGCAATTCAAGATCGGAGATTGGGTCTTGCGCAGAGTGATGGGTAATACCTTGGTACCAGGAGATGGCAAGTTAGGGCCTAATTGGGAAGGACCTTACAAAGTGGTCGGATTAGCTGGCAAAGGGGCATACCACCTGGAAGATGAGGACGACAAAGCCATTCCTAGGCCATGGAATACTGCCAATCTCAAACTATTTTATTTTTAGTTTTTTTTTTTTTTTTTTACAAGTATGTGTAATTTTCCTTTTTCTCAATAAAACAAAGTCGATTCTTTTCAGCATAGTTGTTTTTTGTAAGAGATTGTACTAGTAAGTTAGGGACATCAAAATCAAGGTTGGCTGGAAAAACCAACACCCCTCCTAAGCCCAGGATAAGGATCCAGGCTGCAGGACGTTTGGTCGGAATAACCAAACATTTTACTCTAGATTGGCTGGAAAAACCAATCTATAGGTTGGTTGGAAAAACCAACACCCTTCCTAAGCCCAGGATAAGAATCCAGGCTGCAGGACGTTTGGTCGGAATAACCAAACATTTTCCTCTAGATTGGCTGGAAAAACCAATTTATAGGTTGGCTGGATTAAACCAACTCCTAGTACTCTTTAGCCGAAGTAAGGACATCGGCTCAAGAGTGGTTGGCTGGACTAAACCAACTATTAGTACTCTTTAGCCGAAGTAAGGACATCGGCTCAAGAGTGGTTGGCTGGACTAAACCAACTCCTAGTACTCTTTAGCCAAAGTAAGGATATCGGCTAAAGAGTGGTTGGCTGAACTAAACCAACTATTAGTACTCTTCAGCCGAAGTAAGGATATCGGCTAAAGAGTAGTTGGCTGGACTAAACCAACTCTTAATACTCTTTAGCCGAAGTAAGGACATCGACTAAAGAGTGGTTGGCTAGACTAAACCAACTCTTAAAACTCTTTAGCCGAAGTAAGGACATCGGCTAAAGAGTGGTTGGCTAAAACTAGCTCTTAGAACTCTTTAGCCGAAGTAAGGACATCGGCTAAAGAGTGGTTGGCTGGACAAAACCAACTTAGAGGATGGTCGAATTAAACTCTTATTACTCTTCAGCCGAAGTAAGGGTTTAGGCTGAAGAATAATTGACTGAACTAAACCACTCTTGGTACTCTTCAGCCGAAGTAAGTATATCGGCAAAAGAGTGGTTGGCTAGTGTAGACACCCCATTTTTGACCGTCCTCAAGACTTGGACGTCACCGTTTGAATGCTCGGTGATCATCCATGTTTGTGTTCATTTGGAGATCCCGGAGGTCTCGGCTACGCGCCTTGCCTCAGGATCTCCGAACTCGACTGTTTAGTGTTTGGTTTTGCACCAAACACTTGTGTTTTGCCTTGGAAGGGCAGAGAATGCCTTGTGAGGCATCCCCACACATCACCGGCCATGGCCAGAGGCCACCGGCTGGTGTTTTGTTGCCATCGGCAATGTATATTGCCGGTTGGCACTCTTTGTTGCCGGTCGGCAGTCCATTTTGTCAAAATGGAAATTTTGAGCAGCTGACTACTGTTCATCTGCTTTTGCAGATATTTTAATACAGCTGTCTTGCATTTGGCTCCCCTCCATACACGTGTATGGAGGGATCTCTCTCTTTAGAAGCTTGTCTTGTAAGCTTTACAAGACAAAAAGCTCTATAAGAGGAGCCCTTCTCTCTTGGCTTGAGGGTTAGACAAAAAAGGGTTAGACAAGTTGTGTGAGAGCTCTGGTTTTAGGTTTAGGGTTTCATACATATCCTATCTCTATATCTCTCTCTTGTGTGTGTATAAGTGTGTTTGTGTCTTACTATTGCACACAAACACATAGTGTTACACCTTTTCTTGGTTCTTGAAGGGCCAGAGGTTTGTTCTTGAGGCTTTGGAGTTGTTTTGAGCTCAAGGAAGGGGCTGGTCCACCATTTGTGAAGAAGGTCAACAAGGGTAACAATCTTGCCCTTTTTTTACCCCATTCTTGCATACTATTTTTTCCTATCGTAGAACTGTTTTTGAGCTTAGTGTATAACATAAAAAAGTTCTGTTTTTAGGCCCTCTAAATAGTTTGTTTAGAGTGTTTTGCTGTTTGAGGTTGTTTGACCCCTCTTGAGCCTTGTAAGGCTCCATTTTGTGCCATTTTGAGTGAGCTCCGAGACCTTGGTGTTTGGGCCTCCTCACCACTGAAATCTTGAGGGATTTCAGTGGTAAGAATGGTGCCTTGAAGTCCCAAGAAGGAGAGGGTCACCCCCTCTCCTTGTTGTCCTTGAAAAGGACCATTTTTGGCCTCTTGAGGGAGCACCTAGCTTAGGCTCTTGTTGACCATGCCTTACCTGATTTTTGTGCTCATTATGTCATAATATGCCTTTGTTTTTAGTTGGTTTTGGTACACCATGCATGCTTAGCATACCTACCTTGTAATGCCATGTTTAGGCCTTAACATGCCTTAGGTTGTAAACCATTGTTCTAGCATGTTTTAGGCCTAGCTTTGTGAAGCTTTTGTGCTTATTTTGCCATGTTTGAGGTCTTTCCTTAGTCATTTTGGTCGGCCATGACATGCATTATATACCCCCTTTGCATTTTTGGTTTGTTGGCCTTAAGTGTTTGAGTGTGTAGCATGCATTACTTGCTTTATTTCAGTGGTTTGACACCATTTGTAGCATCACTTCAGTCCCCTTAGCATGCTTGTATGCTTGCCTTGGATGCCTCTTTGATGCCTCATGAGCTTGTGTAGTATGCTCCTTGAAAGTGCACTTGTGCATGCTTTTGAATTCAAGCCATTTAGATGCCATCTAAGTGGTCTTTTGGGCTTTGTTTTAGGTGCTAAAACTCTGTTTTGGTCATTTAAGTCTTGCCATGTGTGGTCATATCAAGTGTAGTTCAATACTTCATTAGCTTGCCTTGAATGCTTGGGCCATTTGTTGCATGTTTAGCCTATCTTGTTTGCTTGGTTTGGCACCATGTTCTTGCATGATTTTCAGAGCTTTTGTTGCATGCTATTTGTCCATGTTTGCATCCTCCTAAGTGTGCTTGAGAATTGTCCCTTTATGCCTAAGTGTTGGTCCTTGTATACATGCATGTGTGCATGCCATTAGTCCTTCATTTTTGGGCACTTTGGCCACTGTTTTGGACCTAACTTAGAGTTGTCCAATTAGTGTAAGTCCATCCCTTGCATGCCATTCAAGTGTTGTTACATTATCCCATGTTTGCATGCTTTGGTTGCATGTGTTGCATGCTTGAAATCACTCGCATTTGGCATGCATTCCCTTGGTCAAGTTGCTAGCATGTCGCATGATTAGATTGCATCTTGCATACTTTGGTAGTTTGCATAGTTATGGCATGCTTGTTTGCTTGTTTGCTTAGTTTGTGTACCTAGTGTACATCACTTGCTTGTATGCTCATGTTGCATGCTAGCTCACATGATTAGGATTGCATTACATTGGCATGCATGCTCTACCTCTTGACCAAGTCATGATGGAGGTAGAAGCCCCTTGGTTTGATTGTGTGCATTGCATTTCATTTGACATGAAAATGCATAACTTGGTCTCTTGGGCCATTACGCATTGAAATGCGTGATTGATGGTCCAAGAACCAAGGACCATGTCCCTTTGAGTCATACACATGATAAGGGACATGATTGGTGCATACATTGCTTGAATTGCATTGCCATGCTATGCCTTGCCCTCTAAGGCTGTCAATTGCAGATTCTGCAGGAACTTTCTACCGACCGGCAGTGTTCAGTGCCGACCGGTAGTGTTCAGTGCCGACCGGCAATCCTTCCTGGGCCGATAGCTTCATCAACAGCCGATGATCACATACCACTATCGGTGGCTATTCTACTCAGCCGGTGGTGTCTCCCAATGTCCAGGGAAGCAATCCT